ATCGAGTCTGTCCTAACGGAGCTCCCTGCTTTAATTACTGAGAATGACATGCACGTTTCCCAGGTGGCTATCATGTTCCTTACTACGTTAGCTAAGGTTTACCCATCCTGCATCTCCAAGATCAGCGGTTCCATTCTTGCAGAAATCTTTCAGCTTGTCCACTCGCCTTTGCTGCAAGGAGGGGCACTGAACGCTATCATAGACTTTTTCCAGGCCCTGGTTCTGACAAAGACGGCCACCATGGGTTACTCGGAGCTGATGAAGCAGCTGACTGCGCCTATTTACTCCTCGGGTTCAGCCGGGGCATCAGTGACACTACACAAACAGGCGTATTACTCTGTCGCAAAGTGCGTGGCAGCGCTTTCCTCAGCCTGCCCAAAGGAAGCCCCTGCAACAGTGAACCAATTTATCCAGGATGTAAAAAACTCCAAGTCCAGCTCTGCTGTTAAAGTGCTGGCTTTCCTTTCACTGGCAGAGATGGGGCGCACCACAAACCTCAGTGCTCAGAGAGAGCTCAAAACCGTCATCCTGGAAGCATTCACTTCCCCCAGCGAAGAGGTGAAATCCGCCGCTTCCTACGCGTTGGGGAACATCAGTGTTGGGAATCTCAAGGAGTACCTTCCCTTCATGCTGAAAGAGATCGGAAGCCAGCCCAAGAGACAGTACCTCCTGCTGCACTCCCTGAAAGAAGTCATCAGCTCCTCCCCGGCCAATGGCCTCAAACCTTACGTGGAGGATATCTGGGCTCTGCTTTTCAAGCACTGTGAGTGCACGGAGGAGGGGACGCGCAATGTGGTGGCCGAATGCCTGGGGAAGCTGACACTGGTGAACCCCTCTGAGCTGCTGCCCCGGCTGAAAAAACAGCTCTCGTCAGGTAATGGAAAGGGCAGGGGTGAGAGTGGGGAAGTGCCTTCTTTTGCTGGGAGGTCCTCTTGGGAACGGCTGGTGGGCACAACAGGGAGCAAAGCCAGTCTGCAGAGGCGAGAAGGAAACAAGAGGGGTCTCTGCAAGACGGGATCAGAGGAGCACTGGGTTGCACGGAGGGCAGGAGGGTGTTAGGAGCAAGGACTGCGCATGGAGATTGCGCAGGAGCAGGATTTAAACAGGGAGGTTTTTAAGACAAATCCTCTGTTCTCTTATCTCTTCAGTGCGTGCGTAATGTGACCAAGAGTCAGATACGTACTATGGAGCTACAGCAATGATTTTGTCTCTTGATCTTCCACTATTTTTATCTTCCACTTTTCGTTGCAGGCTCTCCGCATGCCCGGAGCACGGTGGTGACTGCAGTCAAATTCACAATTGCAGACCAGCCTCAGCCTATTGACGCTCTCCTGAAAGGCTGCATAGGTAGGCGAGCACGAACAGCAGTGTGAGCTCAGGCATTTTTCACACCTGTGTGAACCTTATCTAGTCCAGTTAGCTTTTATCTGTGTTTCTCTGCTTTTGGGATTGAAGAGCAACGCTGTCCCGCGAGTCCTTGTTAAATGCTCTGACACCTTGCTCTTGGGCATGTTCCATGGTGACAGTCTCTTAGGGAGCATAAGTGCCTTCTGTGTTTAAACTTATGATTCAAGCATCTCAGGGCAAGGATCTTGGAAAATATAACCTACATTAACAGGGGCTTATGTCTATGGAGCCTACGTCTCCTATCTGTTCTGTAAAACTGGGCCTTCTGCTTCAGACAAAGTCTGAGCAGATGAGATCTGAGCAAGAAAAAAATGAAAACCAACTTCCTTGAATACCAAAGCTTCTGATCTGACTTTAGGATGAGGTCGCTAGAATCATGTGGTTTGCCCAAATGCAGGAAAGTCACGTTTCTTCCATTTACTATATCCCAGATGAAGGGAGGGAAAGCGTCTCTAATGTCTCTGTTAGACTGTGCCCCTCGAGGTACTTTACCATAGGCGCTTTCATAACCAGGCTCCTTGAAATGCACTGTGATCTACTTTGAAAATATTTTTAAAAGACTGCAGCAGGACTGACTGGCGTGTTCTTATCCCACAGGTGATTTCTTAAAAACTCTTCAGGATCCAGACTTGAACGTTCGACGTGTGGCTTTAGCCATGTTTAATTCTGCTGCTCACAACAAACCTTCTTTAATCCGGGATTTGCTGAACACAGTTCTCCCCAGCCTGTATAATGAGACGAAGGTCAGAAGGGAGCTCATCCGGGAGGTACGTCGTTAGCTGGGCTTGGGTGCAGTACAGCAGTGACTCAGTGCGCATGCAGCTGGGACAAAGCTGTCGCCGTGTCTGCTGTGAGGTGACAGCTGTGGGGTTTTTCCTGTTTAAGGTAGAAATGGGGCCGTTCAAGCACACAGTGGATGATGGCCTTGACGTGAGGAAAGCTGCGTTTGAATGCATGTACACGCTGCTGGAAAGCTGCCTTGACCGACTAGATATCTACGAGTACCTGAACCACGTGGAGGATGGACTGAAGGATCACTACGACATTCGGGTAGACGCTGCGCCGTAACTGGAGGGTGACGATGTCACTGATGCTGCTCAGCTCTGTGGGAGCCTGGGCTTGGATGAGCTGGTGTGTCACCACAGCACAGGGTGCCCCTGCCCTGCTGTCCCCTGTCCTCAGCAACTGCTGCAGCTGCTCATCTCACGCTGTCCAGCCCTCGTTTGGCCGCGGTGGCCTTGAAAATGAAGTCCTGGTGTAGCTGGTTTTACGGGAAATTTGCCAAAGTCTAAAATAAGTTCCAACTTGTGATTGTCACTTGCTCAGCATGGCCAGTGACACTATATTAAAAAATATTTAGCATTGTCATGGTTGATGGTCTCATAGCTTAATAGGAAGTGCTACATCCTTTCCATACTGTTGATTTACCTCCACTTAGGCGTGGGTACGGCAGCAGCAGAGTCCCTGTGCGGAGGCTCTCAGCCCTTTGCAGACACCCAGCACCACACACACCAGGGACCAGAGCCCCGCTGGGCAGCTCCTGCTCGCTGGCTGCCCGTGGGTGCGTTTCTAACGCGACCACTGCTCTTACCAAAGTCCCTTGCATGCGTGTGGGCACGGCCCGACACCGCAGGCAGAATGACCGCGAAGCAACGCCTGTGCTCTCTTTCCTCCTCTGTCTAGATGCTGACTTTCATCATGTTGGCTCGGCTGTCCACGCTCTGTCCCAACGCCATGCTGCAGCGGCTCGAGCGACTGATTGAGCCACTCCGGGCAACTTGCTCCACAAAGGTGAGCTGAGGCAGAGCGCGGCGCTGGGGGGTGTTGCCACACAGCCCCCGGTGCTGCTAGCCCTCCCCGTCACTGCTGCTGAGCTGCCCGCTCCCTGCCCTCCTCCCGTCGGAAAACATCCGCTTGTCTCTGTGCGTCTCCAGTTCTTTATGTCTCGACTGTCTTTTCTAAATGCCAACTGGAAACTTTGGATTCGTAGGTGAAAGCTGGTTCCGTGAAACAGGAGTTTGAGAAGCAGGACGAACTGAAGCGATCCGCCATGAGAGCAGTAGCCGCTCTCCTGACCATCCCTGAAGTAGAGAAAAGCCCAGCGATGGCTGAGTTTTCATCTCAGATCAGATCCAGTCCTGAAACGGCGTCGCTCTTTGAGAGCATTCAGAAGGATTCCGCCTCCCTGCCCACCCCAGACTCGATGGACATGAGCTAAGATCCCCCCCGGTTTGCTCCGCCACCTCCCTGCCCTCGCAGTGCACTGAACAACGCCAGCACGGAGCCAGGGGAGATGGCTGCCACGCTGCTCTGCTGCCACAGCCCCTGGCGAGCCGCCGGGCGCTGACCCGAGCATGCAGCAGGTTCCAGTGTCCTCGCACTCGACACCTTGCTGAATCGTGACACGGTGCGCAAGAGCGAAACGTGTCCTGGCAGAGGGGAGGGGTCAGAAGATGAGTATTCTCATTTTTCAGCAAGTTTCTAAGGGGCATACAAAGCAATCTAAATCGAGTGTGGTTCCATGAAAAATGGAAACTACTGCCTGAAGTATTTCTTACTGCAGTACACAGAAAAATATTTAAAAGTTTTTTTTAACCACTGCACATGCACTTTCTACCCTAAATTGCCTGAAGAATGTATTTATATTGTTTCACTCAATAACATGGCTAAACACTAGCAGTCATGTCTTTAATTAGCGCTGAGCCTTGTAACTGTGGGCCCCGTTTCTGAACGAGGAGTCCCGTACGAGCCAAGGTGCAGGAGCTGCACGGGGTGGCTCGCTGCTGCGGCCCCCAGCCGTTCCCCCTGGGCTCAGCTCACAGAACATGCACCTATGGCACGGGTTCTCCATGCTTGGGCGAGATGAAGCTATTGCGCTTGACTTCCATTTTTACCCTTTTGACTGCAAAATACCTCAGCCAGCTGTCTTCCAAAAGAGAGGATTACTTGACTGCGTTACAGAACAAACCTTAGGCTAAGCTTTGCTTTGCATTAAACACTGGCTTCCCAAGCAGCACGTTTCTGCGCGGTGACCAGCAGCAGCACTCGCCCCCAGCTCTGGTCACCGAAGAGCAGCGCACTGGCAGTCAGTATTCAGGGGCAGCACAGCGAGAGGGAGGTCACAAGCCAGAGGTGCAGGCACACAGGCGGCCCACAGTGGCCCTTCCGCCCTTTGAAACTCGCTCCGTAGTGGCTGTTGTGTTCAAACCCTGCTTCACATGGCGGAAAAAAGCCTTAAGAGACAGAGAGGGTCTAACAGCCAGTCGGAGAACAAGGCCACCATGCCCCAACTCTTGTAGCCATGGAGCCGTAAGCAGCTTTCATTTCTCCTTTTCTGACGAGAGCGGATGATGTGAGAAGTATTTATAGTGCCGTGTGAAAGAACATCCATTCTGTTTGAGTGGTATAAAAAATAAAAATATACTTGT